CTCGAAGGTAATATAACCAACAGATCTATCATGTTGTATCTATTTATTAAGACTTGTTATAGCTTTGAATATAAGGAAATGTATACTGTATCTATGAATTGCGTTAACGGAAAGTTAAACAAAAGTGGATAGTCGACATAAAACAGATTGCGGACTACGTAATACAGCCGCATAAGTACCAAACTATACAATATATAATCCTACATTAGATTTTCTACGTCCGTCTATAGATGGGTAACCCAATATAGAAAATATTGTACAGTTGGTTGAAATTTCAAAGGCACGAGATTCTTTCGTCGTTGAGTCAAGACGGCTTTTATATTCCTAAGATATTTCACAAGTACTAAGAACAAGTATTTTATTGCTCTATAGTTTACACATATACAGATATGATTGATGTAATTACTGCTATTACTTTTTAATAATAAAATAACGATAAATACATTTCAAGAAAGAGGTTACCTAATAAAATAAACCAAGAACTAAATTGCATTGTGTGACAATGGCGACATTGTTCTATACTATAACACACATGTATTATACATATAAATCTTCTTCTTGAATCATATTGCTGAAAACTGCATTAAAATCTGTTGCGTAATTTAAAAGATATAAGCGAACACACAGCGGCTGGGTTTTTGTTTTATACCTACTACTATGTAAGTATATATAGTATGTATGTGTACCTATTTCTTAAATAAAAATATAAACTATAGAAAACAATAACAAGGAAACAAATAAAAGAAGATAAGAATAATGCCCTCGCAACTTTTTAAAAAATATAATATTTAAAACCATTTCCTCTCGTAGAATAATAATGTATGTATACTCTGCATAACCTAATTCACGCATGAAGGAATTCAGAAATGTATAGTAATGTTGGGCTGTTTTTGTAGTAGTATTTTAATGTAAACAATACTTATATATTTGGAAAAATGTTCTTCAATTTAAAAGTACTGTTTATACTTTAAATGAAGTTTAGATTTTAATATAATTATGTGTAACTATTTAGAGACAAAATAAATACATAAAAAATACAAGTTTTTTTCGTAATAGAGGTACTTTGACAACAGAAAGTAAGTAAATTGATTATCAACTATACAGGTACAGGCTGGAAAGGACTAACAAAGTTTAGTAAAACTAACAGAACATGTAAAACTTTTCCTTTAGAATTACGAAAGGTAAAGTTAAGGTAACAAAATTTATGATGCAATAAAGTTAATACATGGAATTACATTTGAGATGTTATATCCGATTGTAACTTGTTGAACTCCGAACCCACCTTTAATTTCACTAGAGACTCACGTCTTTGTCCTCGTAACAATGTACCATTTATTTGACTGTAATAGGTTAAATAAGGTTTACTTTGATAAAGACGAGTATGGCTTTTTATATTTTAATACGATTAGGTACTTAAATAATTAAACATACATATTATATATTACTATAATACTATGCTATTATACCTTCTTGAAACCATTGATAAATTACTAGAGTATTCATCATGTGGGCGGCTTATTATAATAATATTATCCCCAATGGCGCATCATTCAGTAATAAAAATTATCATTTCTCTGTTCTGTCTCACTACAGCTAACTATTAGGAAGGGACACGGTGTGACTGCATAGTGTATATAATATCATTTATATTGATATGTATAGTTAATATATTTTATTTTATTAATTACCTAATATAGAGCACTTAAGTTTAATAAGAAATACATCGTAATAATGAAAGAATATTTCGAAATGCGTGGGCGGGTCACCTGAGACGCGGATAGTCAACTGACGTGAAACATTTGAGTCACAAGTCGCGTGCTCTGCTTGTCATCAGCCTCAAGCGCGTGACGTCACTTGTGAATCATCGAGTTATGAATAGTGAATGGACGTTTTATTTATGACTACGCTCATATGATTGCTAAAAAGCGATGAGTCCGCCATATGTACTTTAACCTTCGTATTTTGTGCATTGAAGTTATATGAAATAAATAAATAAATAATAGTGATATCTGGCTTAAATGTGTATTATTATCTAAAAGTAAATAAACACTTTTGATTTTTTTACATACATTTAAATGAGGTAATATACGTTTTTCAAAATATATTATGAACTTATAATAAGTAGGTATTCAAAAACTTAAATACACAATACAAACTAATTACGTCTATTTTTCGAATACGCAAAACAAGTATAATGAATAGAATATTAAGGTTATTTTGGTTTTTGGGTACTTTTAATAACGTTAACATTTATTTCTGTTTATATAAATAACTGCGACGTTTATGCGGCTAATGTTTTATTTTAATATTATGTGATCAAATAATAAAAAATCCTTCTCACGATTAATCATGATTTAATATTTAAAATACTTTTATAGCACAAAATTTTAATAATATTTAAGTAGTAATTAATTTATTATTAAATTATACCTATGATGGTAAATGTGTGTTGCAAAATCTACTTATCATTGCATAATACATGAATAATATTTATTAATATGCATTTTATTTAAAAAATATCATGTTATATATATAATAGTAACAGCTATCAAAGCTATCAACATTACTACAAATTTGATGTATTACATGTATAAAAGATATTATTGTGCACAGTTGGATAACATATCCATCGATCATGTATCGATGGCACGTGACCTTCCGTATGCTCACGCGCATAGTGACGTAGCTTTACGTAACTGTTAGACAGTAGAGTCATAGTAGGTATCATAGTATAGTAGACAATTACACAAATTTATATAAGACTCTGATAACTATAACGGTTTTTATATGAATATTGCATAATTATTATAATTATTTTATTATTGCATTTAAAACGTTATAATCCACAAAGGGTTTATTCTGAAGAATAGAAAAGAAGTGTGGCAGATTTATCACAAAGAACAAGGAAAACAAAAAGCTGATGGACTATTTGATAGTGTTAATCTTTATACAAAAGCAGTACTATAGACATCACATTATCATGTGACACCCGCGAATGGCCGCGATACTACTCATGCGTGGTCCTTTTGGAGGACTAAGATGCCATTCATCTTATCCTGTAATTTCACAGCCTATTCTCACCTTCCACTTTAAACATATCTTACAATTACAAAACAACCTGCTTCCTGGCTGTTAGGTGACACTGAGGTACCCAAGAAACAGACTCTTTACACTGTTATAACCTTTATTTAAATCTATGTTAATATTTCTCGGATATTCTTTAGTCAGGAATTACTTACAATACTGTTATAGATGCCGATATCGTCGCAAGAGATAATACTAGAGAGATCAATTAACGTCTTTTACTTTTGATGTGGCATAGTCCATAATAATATGGTACATGGTTAGTATTTATAATTTATTTAGTACTAGTTACTCGCCCCGGCTACGCCCGGGTGTACAAATATTATATACCTTTATAAATCTTCCTCTTGAATCACTCTATCTATTAAAAAAACCGCCTCAAATCTGTTTTAAAGATTTAAGCATATATAGGGAGGGACAGACAGACGGCGACTTTGTTTTATACTATGTAATGATATATAAGACTAATAACTATACCAATTTATGTTTGTGTATTGTATAATACATTAATTTGTTTTTATTAGAAAACAAGAGTACATTCTGAGATAGGAAACTCATCGTGCAGTACTTAAGTGTAAACGAAGGTTCGTTATTTGGAGGTATGGTTGTTATGAAGTGTTTCTTTTTGTATTGTATTTTATAGAGGGAGATTCTTCAATCTGTAGTGTTGATCCAACTACTTGAGTTTAGAGGGAATTAATTATTAACTCACCATAAATATTATTATCATTAGCTAATGGTAATAGTATCAATTTAAGACTTGCCTCTAATCATTTAAGAATTGGAATATTACTATTTGAAGGAACAATTGAATACATATTTATGTATAAATGTGTATTTATTAATATAATTACGTTTCAGATCTTTAAATATGACTGTGTTTGTAAAAGTTTTTTAACAAAATCTTTCTGACAGTGGTTTTCTGGATGAGAAAATTCTTTGTCGCAAAGACAAAGAACAGAAGTTGAATCAACTGTTGTTGAACTCGTTGAGAGTACCGGGAAGAAATGTTTATTTTTATTTCATGTTGCGAAAAGGAAATGTGACAATGTAGGTATGCATTGACACAAAGGCTGTTGAGTAAGTCTTTGTTGAGTTATGACGGATAAGAGGTTGGTCGGTTGTTAAAGTTTCCACTTTGTACAATTTTATAGGTAATTCCGTCACAAATGATACCTACAATATTGCAGTTTTGATTAATTTTTCTATAACGTTTGATATTATTGAACTGAGCTGTACTATACCTATAAAATAAGGAATAGCTGTAATGAGAAAGACCACTAAAATGTATTCTTTCATATGATTCGCTATAATATCATTTCAATTTATCATTGTTATTTTAGTCTAAATCGTAAATTAATAACGTATTAAGAATTTAAGGATAAGTTCGATTAATTATGTTATTATTTGTGGAACATTGATTATAAAGCGAACGCGACTTCTATTGTTATAAAATACATCGGATATTCAAAGTAATTAATTCGCCTTAACCCTTTTAACTTGGCCTTAAACGAAATTTTGAGGTTGCACTGCATTAGTAATCAACTGTTATCAATTGAAGTATTATAGTGATTAAATAAATTTGGGTCTCGGGATTTATTCTACTCTAAAGATCAGGGTTCAAATCAGGTCGACAGTAAAAAAACCTTGTATATCAATTAATATTGCCGACTGACCCCGTCTGTTATAACAGTTTCTATAGAAAAACATAGTCCCAGAGACTATGGTGTGATGTTAGATTAAAATATTGAGTGCTGAGGGAAATGTGATCATGTCAAGTGTTGCGTTCACCACGACATCTATGTATAGTTACCTCTGGCTACCCTATCTGGGATAACAGTCGTAGTCGTGAAGATGTATTTATATACGTTTGTAGCAATCATAGGTTACATTTTATATACAAAAAGCTAACTTACTTGGCGACAGGTACATTGGTGAGACATAAGAAGTTATTGCGGACGCTACGCAGACTGGCCAGCACCTGCGCGAACGGCGTTACAATCAGGTCTTCGCCGTGGCTGTGGACAAAAAAGCACTCTATTAAATACTACACAAAATTTTAATTTACTTGTCATGTTTTGAAATAATATGGGGTATCTAATAGAGCAAACAAACAGTAGGCGCCAGTAAATAAGGACAATTCAATTTATCCAATGTATCGTTAGCGAGTTTGAAGGTTTTGAGTAGATGTGAATGTTGCGTGATGCGGTATTATTTCACCATTATCTTGTAAAATTTGTGTATAATGACGAAATAATTTGTTCTCATCAATTAATGAAACTTTTAGGTCAACCTATATGACATATATATAGACAGTGACGACTATTTACAACATAACATAGTACTCACATATACATATATATAAATTTACATAAGTATATAAAAGTATTACAGTTTATAACTCTATTATTAAATCACAAAAAAATTATGATAGTATACTCATACTCTAATAATATTATCTTCATCAACTTTATATATCATAGTAGGAACTTATTAGGATTAAAAAACCAATTTATATTATGTGGGAACATTATTAAACACATGCATAGACGTAGTAATTTTTAATAAAAGGTGTACTATTTTAAGTAGTCGATATATAAATTACACATTGTCGAATTGCAGTAGAAATACCCGTCGTTAGAAAATTTAAATCGGGTCAAATTATGACATATTTAAGTTTCTCCAATTGTAATTTAAAAATCATTATTCACTTAATTTTTTTGTAAGTTGGGTTAATTTCATTATAATGCGTTTTATATTAACCAGCGGTTTCTGATTATTATATTGTGATTAAGCGGTATTCCAATTAATTTTCAGAAAACGTTTAGTACATCTACAATATGCGCTTTCCTGCAGAATAATAAATAAATTACAGAACAATGGTGATATGAGCACTAAAATTTTTAAAAATATTAAATTTCCTTCGTGGACTGTGTTCCTAAAATATGATTAAGTGCAATAAAGGCTGGTTTATTCATTATACTCGTGAACAGGGGTTGCTTTTAGGGACTGGTCTGCTCTAACCACGACTGACTTTGTAACTCAATCAACTTCATATTTATTATTTTTACTAAGAATTCATACTATTTGATAGTAGGTATATTTAGACTTATAAAATTTAAAATTTTAGGTACCACGGGTATTTAGAAAAGCATGAGTTCACCTCATGCTTTTCTAAATACCCGAAACTATCCGAATACTTTGGCTCTCAGAATAAGTGGTAAATTAAAAAAAAAATGTGACTATTATATATTTCTTACATTTATGTTAAGCAATGATTAATTCTATTTTATTCTAATATAGACATCTCATTGACGTCTCTATTATATGAATATATATATGTATACAGAAATAAACAAAATAACTGTATGATTCTAGCAAAATACCATTATTTCTATTATGATAGCCGTTTTAATAGTAGAAACATTAAACCTGATTAGTACCCAAATTCTTGGTATTTGAAATTTCATTATAGCTGGTGGCTTTGAGATAACAGCGTAACTATCTATTCATATGCAAAATTTGCATTAACTACTGTCGAGCTACTCAAGGATAGTTTTTATGTTATTGTGTTTGTCAGGTGTGGGTTTTCAATGTATATTTTTAATATATATAGTACATACCTATTGCCTTTATATACTATGCCTTTATATTTAAATATACATATAGGTATGTACACAATATGACAGATGTGGTATTATTATTTCAATTGTTCTTATTACAGCTAGAACTAAAAAAATGTCCGTTTCACAATAATTATATTTTCAGATTTTGATAATTTTAATATTGGTTATTTATACGAATCAAACTAATACGAAATGACTATACTAAACCAATATTAACAATCATAACTACAAAACAACTAAGCGAGTTAACAATAAATAATGTCCATCGCTAAATTACAAAGCACCAACAATAGTAATGTCGGCCTCAAGTGGTTTCATAGACAAGTAATTTCCTTATCATGCATGGGAGAATACACACCTGACTGTGTGGAAGCTATAATATAGTCATAAATTTATAATAATTACGAAGTTGAAACGTTCTGGCATTGGGTATGCATATACGGCATAGTGCATGCTGAATATGTAGGTTTATCTAAATAATAATGAAATATAAATATTTTATTAATTTTATATTCTCTATATTCATAATATAGAGAATAATAAATTTCAATTTTATCAACGTAATATTTTATGAATGCATATCATACTGTATGTCTTTTTATGTTACATCATCATTCATTTTAACATCATCATATACGTATATTTAAAATAATAATAATTACAAGAAAATAAAGCTAATAAGTTGATAGACGCGGTGGTTCAGCGGTTTTGTATACCGCTACACTAACTTACGCTACTTTTGAATGGTCGCGGCTTCGATTCCTCGCACAATACTAACATTTGTATTAATGAATATATTTATTTGTATCGATCTGGGTATTTTCTATGTATATTAAAAAACGGTATGTATGTGTATTTGTATCAGTTGTTGTGTGTTATGGTTGTCTACTAACTAACCATAACACAAGCTTTGTTCAGCTTGGGAGTAGATACTATACAATAATAATATATGGTACTCATCGTATTACTGCTATAGAAGAAAACGTTGTGATAAATTACTTTGAAATTAGTAAAAGATGTCGTTTGATGTTTATCTTTTACTGATGTGAACTTTAACTAAAGGTTTTCAATTCATGTTGAAAGGAAAATACATTATAGTATTATAGAAATGTTCTTTCAAACATAATACGAAATAGTAACGAAGCATATAGTCTCTATATATTACGATAATAAGTAATAGAAGTTATAATTATAGTTATTTATGCGAGCACATATACGTCATAATTTATTTATAACTTTTTTATGGCTGTGTGTTTTTTCATTACTGACTTTCAGAGGTTTTACAGGTGGCATTTATGGCACTCTTTATAGGTACACAGTTTATTGTGGCGGATCTCGTTCAGCTATAAACAACAGTTCAATGGCTTGAAAATTAACGATGCCCTCAAGTTTTATGATAATGTTTTATTAAGTACTAAGTTTCAAAAGAATTTTATAACTTCAGATATTAGAAAGTTTATAACGAGTACTCAATAGTTTATTGAAATTTGAATGTCACTACATTGATATATAACGAAACGTCTTTATACTACAAAATTAGTAAGTTTTAATAAAATAAAGCAATATATATAATTTTTTTCATTATTTTACGTTAATTATGTAAGTAATACATAGATTGTTATCAATGTATTACCTAAGTTAGAACAAGAACACATATGAATTACTTATCTTGATTTCTATAGATAATAAATTAAATTTGTCAAATATAAATATAATTGAAAAACAGTAGGTATACTTAAAATAATGACAATAATTTACAATGAAAATGTCTCCTACCATATATTAAATAGAGGTTGTCAAACACTTCTGGCATATAACAGGGTATTATTATAACTTGATTAAAAACATGAAACTATTAAATGTCTACTTACTTACGTGCCAATATATACCAATAGGAACAAAAAAGAGGCAAAAAGGGCACTCATATTCTAATATCCAAATATTACCACGGTCTAATATTTCTCAGAACGAAAAATATTCGATACTTATTCATGAGAGTAAAATATGTATGAAGAAATACTTGTCGAAGGCATTATGTAAATTTGCTGGACGGGGGCCTTATTTTGACCACTATATAAGTGACAATATTTGAAAGAAGCTACTGTTTGTTCATTTGCTAATGTATTTATGCCTAATTAATAACCAATGTACTTAAAACAGTAGTCTTACTAATTAATCACGCGTTTAGACTATGTAAACTATTGGGGATTAAGATTTTTTAAGCTGCAAAAATTAAATTGCAATTAAAGTTTCTACTACATACGAACTCATTAAATGAAATTCTCATGAAATCAGCTGAAAATGGACCAGTAGCAGTTGCGCTGTTTGCAGAAAAATATTTTGTAATAATAGTTCTGTTCATGTACCGACGATTACCGAATATCACTATTTTAAAAATTTGTATTAATAACAGAATTATTAAGTGTCATGCCGTAAATTAATACCATATTTATCGATTATTACTTTTAATAGTAATACAACTAAAAACCTGTGTAGTACCATACGTGACTTATCAGATAGTAAGTTGTTTGCAACCATGTATTTATTTTTATTATTATTAAACCAAGAACCAACTTTAGCTATAAATATAACTATACTTATTTAGCCTCGTAAATATGAAATGAAACCTACCCTGCGGCTCGTCTTATATTACTCTGGTTTTCAATTTCTTAAACCACAAACTTCTTGTTAGTAAATTCAGTCAGAAGGTAGATAATTTCGATTGAATAAAATATAAATAATTAATATATATATATATACCTACCGGAATTTGGTAATCCTTTGAATTATTGAAACATTTTAACAATCAGATTTTGAATTTGATTAGATTTGAATTAGATTATTATTTTGTTTATAAATGAAATGTATTTAACATTTCATTTATAAACAAAATTACTAATCAATTTTTTTTCCCACTATTCTAATGCAGCATTTACAACTTGCAGCCTACAAATTAATGTTTAATGAAGAATTAATAAACAAATGAAATGAGATAGATATAAGACTCTTTGTTCATAGGCGCAACCAAGGGGTTTTCTATTATTATTTGCTTCTAATATTCGAAAATATAATTAACTGGCGACCCGCAATCAATTTGCACGAGTAGTAGAACATTATATTATATTGCAGAATATATTTCACTCTAATTTACGTGGGCAGAACTACGCATATACAGCTTTATTGTTAATATGACAGCAAGACAGTTTTCAAATATGTTAGAAACTTATATAACACATGAAATCTATATATTCTGTTGCTATAACTATTCAAAAGTTTATTATATTAAGTTGATTTGAATGAAGATTATTATTATTTCTATGGGTTTGTGGTGATATTGCCTTAAATATAATTTAATTGCAAAACAATTGGTCTACTTTAAATATATGTACATT